CTGTCCTCATCTCCATCTTCCTGACTCACTGACATGGTTGCAATAATTTCCTCTACAGGGGTGAACCTATGCTACCTGTGCTTGCCTAGTCAAGCACAGGTAGCATGACCTCGTATGTGGTCCAAGAGCACGGGAAGGGGTTGATAATGATCACCCCTGGACATGGGCATGGGTGGTCTAGCTTACCCTTGTGCCCCGGATACCCAGAAGCGACTAGGGTGAGAGGACTCCGGCTAGGGTACCGGACGTCATCTTGGGGTACCACTTCCCCAGTGGCTGATTTTGGAGATGGCGGGTGGCTTGACCGAACCCGTGAGAGGATAAGCTACGGCTGGAAGGACACATGCGTGCATGTTCCTTGCCTCTCCGGGGACTTGACCCGCTACAGCCAGGCATGTCCTCCCCGCGATTTATATTTTTCTATGCACGCATGACATTAAAGGTGATCGTCTCCTGTTGGAGACGCTATTCATTCTGTTTAGTGGCATGCCTCTTTTATTTTATTTTGAGTTATATTTTAATGTATATTGTTTTTATATCTCCATGTATCTTTATTTTTATTTTTGTTTTAGCAGTACATCTTAGGCCACATGCAATAATTTTTAGTTTTAGATGTAATATGTTTTTTAGGGTTACTGCTGCGGGGACTACGCGGCCCATGCCTTGTGGCTGGGTCGCTGGGCTCCAAAGCTAGATCAACACCCTCCCCCCCCCCCCCTGAAGTGGCAAGGGGAGCAAAGGGGATAAAAAAATGACTTCCCACCGAGAGGGATTGAAAACCCTCAAACGAATCCCCCTTCATGTCAACAGTGTCCATTATCACCAACTCTGCTGGGTGATCTAATGGCTCAATTTGCACATTGTCCACCCCCTTGGCATTACATGCCATTTTAATCACTACTGACTCTTCCCTTGAAATCGTGACATAATTTGGCAGTGTGACCTCCCACTGCTATCTACTCCTCACCTTCTTAACATCTACCGCTTGACACCCACACACCCTACGCGAACATGGGGACACGGGTAAAACTGAGTTCCCCAATGAGCCACAGGAGACGTTAGAAAGGACTTTTTCAATGTCAGAGTAGTTAACAGGTGGAATGTATTAGGCAGTGATATGGTGGAGGCTGTCTCCATACACAGTTTCAAATGAAGATATGGCAGAGCCTAGTAGGCTCAGGAATCTGTACACCCGTTGATTGACAGTTGAAAGGCAGGACCAATGAGCCAGAGCTCAACCCCCGCAAGCACAACTAGGTGAGAGCTAGGCGAGTATACAAGTTTATTTCCTCTTGCACTGAAAGCTATGGTACACGAGCATATCTCCAGGAAATCAATTGGTATCGAAAGGAGGCTCTCACAAGCAGTATATTTAAACGCCAGAACTTGTGGCAAATGATCAGGACAGCTGGAAGTAGTGTGGACCGCCCATGGTGATGCTATTGCCGGCTTAAACTCTGAGGGTTTTTATAAATGCCGTATCGACCCACTTAGGTCATCTTGACATTTCTCCAGTGTGTCAGTGGTGAAATGTCAAGATCTTATGAATATCATGAAGGTTGTATAACATTGTGACATATTTTCATGTTATATTACTGAAGTATGTGATTAGAGTAGTGGTGTTTGGACCCGTTGTCTACCGGTAGGAGAAGACAAAATAAATGTGTTAAACAAACCTTATTGTGCAGAAGGAAGAGGATCAAACCAGCGGTGACGTTCTTCTGGAAATTTCAATTTAACATCAAAGCGAAGGAGGAGCGTCATTTAGTCACTATTATTATCTTTAATCGCTGTGAGCAATCTATATGACAAATTTAATAATGTTGCTATTATAATGATAATATATAGCAGTTAAATGTAATTTTCGCTCGTTATTACTTTGGGTTTAATCCTGAATATTAAGCCTGGTAACAGTAAGGTTATTATCATCATATCTTGCTGTTATACGAGTTAATTTTTCATTGGAATAATTATTATGGCATATTTTATCATTATTATTGTCGGAATATTGTTAGTAAACTATAATATGAAATAGTAGGATTAACACACTTGAATTATTATTGTCGTACAGGTACTTGGTGTGACCAACCATTATATAGTAATTGTTTGGGGGATTGTTGAAGCAGATGATTTTCCTTGGCGTGTGTTCATATCCCCACGTCATGGCGGTGTATACACATTTCATGACTTCACATATGAATGCCATGTTCACTCACATGTTCAGGTAACACACACACGCCCCGTGCTAAGCAAGCGAATTGGCTTAGGTTCTTATCCTGACCGGGGAGGATTGGCTAGGCGCCAATCCTTAACTGTACGCCTCTGTTCACTCAGCAGTAAATGGATTCCTGGCACCAGGTTCACGAATCAGTTACGCAAGCACTTACGAACCGAAACATCTTTTCTGAATGTTTGGCGGCTTTGTTTACAATTATTAAACAGTTAATGAGCTCCAAAGTACCAGGAGGCTGTTTATAACAATAACAACAGTTGATGGGAAGTTTTTTTTGTAAACTGTTTAATATATGTAACCAAAGCCATCAAAGATTGAGTAAAGATGTACACGTTCGTAAGTACTT